CTCAACATTGCCCATTCCTTTGTGCTTCTTCAAAAGAGCTTGAACAGCACATCTTGAAGCCCCAGTCTGCTTTGAAATGTTTGCCTGGGAGAGACGCTGCTGATGCAGTCTAACTACCTTGTTGCTGTGCTCAGTCTTGCCATGGTGTATGACCTGTGACATGAAACTATCTTCCACAACCTCACCTTAGTAGCAGCTTTTGGCTGTTCCCCACCCAGTTTTAAGCCTCCTACACAGCTGTTTCTGTTTCAGTTAATGACTGTGTTTCAACCTACATATGAAATTGATGATCATTAGCACCTGCTTGGTATAATTGGTTAATCATACACCTGACTCTAATCCTACAAGATCCCTGACTTTGTGCAAGTGTACAAAGTGTGCAAGTGTAAGAATTGATGCTGGTTTGAAGCCAAAGGGTAGTCACACCAAATATTGATTTTAGATTTTTCTTCTGTTCGCTCACTTTGCATTTTGTAAATTCCAAAGGGTAGTCACACCAAATATTGATTTTAGATTTTTCTTCTGTTCGCTCACTTTGCATTTTGTAAATTCCAAAGGGTAGTCACACCAAATATTGATTTTAGATTTTTCTTCTGTTCGCTCACTTTGCATTTTGTAAATTGATCAACGAACAATTACAATATATATTTTTGAAAGCATTCTTACTTTACAGCATTTTTTCACACCTGCCTAAAATGTTTGCACAGTACTGTATACTAGACTCATTTTTAAACATTTGTATTCAAAATGTATGACAGCAACTTTTTGCTGTATTTTCACCTGTGACTTCTTAACATGCCTTTGGTTATATAATTTACGTTTTCCACCTACATTCATATAAAACCAATGCAAGGTTTAGATAATTCAAAGGAAGGAGACCTAGTGAGATGGTGAAAGGTAGTATTTTCTCCTAATGAATGAGGATAAGATGAAAGATTTTAAGGAATAAAGAGAATTCCCATCAGTTTATGCTTAACTAAGTCCAAAAAGGAATAAATCTAACAGGAAAAACATTCAGATAAAAGAGTTTTTAGAGAATTTTAAATGGAAACGTGTTGATTTAAAATGCTTGTATATTATTCCCACAGAATGGCTCAAAATTTTGGAATAATTCCTGTAGATCCCAATCTGGATTTTACAATGATCCAAATAAAAGTTATTTACAAAATGTACAGACTATTCTATAGCTCTCTTGATTTGGTATTACTCATTTTTTAAAAAATTAAACAATTTAAACACTTAAATAGAAATCTTTTTTTTAAGCCGTTATCACATTTTATTTATGTACATTCCTTGAAGACAATATTGATATGGATCTGGGGACCATCTAGTTCTTCAGATCTGTAGAACTACACATCCCTAAAACCCTTCTTTATTCATTCATTTAATGTCATCTATTCTAATTCATTGTTGGCATTTTGTTGCTTTGATTATTCATATTAATTCCTTTTGCATTTTTTATTGCTTTATAGAATTTTTTGCTATCCTCAAGATGCGGCATCTATTGTGAACTTTAGTTATACAAAAGAAAAAAAATCAGGTCAGTTGCTTGATACTTCAGTATTTTCAATACACGGGATATAGTCCTAATAAGCAAGTCATTTGGAATAAATTCAAACATTTAAAGTGTGGAAACTATGAAATTATAACCTCATGAATGTGATTTTAGAGATTTCCATAAAAACAATCACAAGCCAAACTAAGAATTTCCACTAAGAAGTGGGTCAAGAAGAAATGACTCGATTTTTTTTTAAAAAATCCATGTTGTGCTAACTGAAACATTAAAAAAAAAGAATTAGAATATATTAACACAGAAATAAAACAGTGTAGTAGCAGACTGTCTAGAAGAAAAATATTTTCAATTGACAGAATTTAACAGTAAGTTCTAACTAACTAACTAACTAACTATGAGTATTTGAGGTGGTAAAAATATCTGCAATCTTATTTACATTTATACCCCATGTTTCTCCCCATAAGGGAAGCAAGGCAGCTGACAATGAAAACAAAAACAGGTAACATTCTTTAAAAACTGTTAAGCCAGTTCAATTCAGTCTGGCGGCCTGGAAGAAAACTCCCCCTTCTTCCAGAAAGAGTGGGGCTTGGGGGCATACAGACCACAGCTTGGAATAACCCAGGGCAGGAGAAGACCTTTTTAAGAGATTGCTCCTGCTAAGTTTAGCGTCTGGAGGCAGGCAGCTCCCTCATAGACTCAGGCCATAAGCTGCTGAAGGTAAATACAAACACTGGCCACAACTATAGGTTTTTCCACCTATAATATAATGACAAGCTGCCAGTATTGTCCACTGGTTAGTAGCTTAGCATTTTGCACT